CGAACCGCCCGCTTCTGCCTGCTGGCGAGAGAGGAGGATGAGTGTGGTCCTGGTGTTGGTCTGTCCGCGACTCTCCATGCCCTCTTGGGACCCAGAGACAGAGAAAACCGCTCTCCTGTCGAGATTTTTGGAAACCAGATTCTCCACCCGGCCCTCCTCCGGGGAAGGGAGAAGTGCATCCCTCTCTCTCTGCGTCGCCCTACCCGAGGCCTCTTGCTCTTCCGCTCACCGCCAGGTTGACGGGGGCCTGGATGGGCGGGGCGGCCTGCCTACGCTCAGCTCCACGGCGCCGCTTGCTTGAGGCTGCTGCAGATGCGGCACAGGAGCGGGGTGGACGCAGCAGCTGCCCGCCGGGGCAGAAGGCCGGACCGCCTCAGTTTGCTCCTGTGCAGCCGAGAACTGCTGGGCCATGTTCTCGACTGCGTTGCCGAAAAGGCCGGTCTGGGACACAGGGACCTTGAGGAACCGAACTTTGTCGGCGTCCCTCATGTCGACCAGACACAAACAGAGGTAATGCTCCTGGACCACAAGTGTGGACATCGCACGACCCAGAGAACTCGCGGTGACCTTCATCGCTCGGAGCGCAAGATCAGTTGCGGTTCGGAGCTCTTTTAGAACTTCCGGATCATGACCACCCTCGTGCAGGTCCCTCAGTGCGTTTGCCTGAAGAACCTGCAGTAACGCCGTAGCGTGTAAGGCGGAGGCAGCTTCTCCACAGGCCGTATAAGCATCGCCTCCCTCAGTGCTTTAGCTTGAAGAACCTGCAGTAACGCCGTAGCGTGTAAGGCGGAGGCAGCTTCTCTACAGGCCGTATAAGCATCGCTGGCCAGACGAGTACCTACAGACCCGGGAGGGGAGGCTCGGTTCGCCCTGCCGGGTATAGGCGGTGTTAGGACACAACTGCATCGCAACCGACCGCTCCACCGGGGGGACCCCCGTATACACCCTAGCTGCACCACCGTCGAGAGTGGTGAGGAAGGAGGAGTTAACAGGTCGGTATCCGGCAGAAAAAGGTGCCATCCACAACCTGGTAAGCTCCTCATGCACTTCCGGGAAGAATGGACCACCCCAAAGAACCAATCGTCCAACCTTGAAGGCTCGGGACACGATGGAGGTCTCCACTCGAGCCCTACCCTCACGGCGGCCAGGGAAAGCATAGCCGTTATTTCCGGATCCGATTCAGGCATTGCTACAGTCCCGGAGGACAGCAGCGCAGCCGAATCTTTCATTTTCATCGCATTTACATTTTCTGAGCCAACAATATAACGTGAAACCTATGAAAATGGTTTAAAAAAGCACATGGTGCCATAGTTTCATCACTGTAGAGTGTCGCAGTGACCGCCTTTTTGCAGTAAAGAACCTGTAGTAGTTTAATGAGTGGGAAGATGACATGAAGCGACGCGAGGTTAGCTGCACTGAAAACAGATGAGCGCGCATGTGCATATTATATAGCTCCCGATCGGGGCGAAGTTCACGGGATTTTGTCCACAGAATGATAAGAGCACACGCTTTAACGTATTCTTTTTTTTATTTCACACTCAGTATTTTAACTTAAGCGCTGCAAGCCATGCATACAGCGCCAGACATGACAGGTTTTCTGGTATGCAAAACACGTACTTTAAAGGAATTCCTTAGCTTATTGCCGTTACTGTGGCAGCTAACAACAGCACAGCGTGCACCCTGCGCACATTTTTATATTTAGTTATATTGAAAAAGTTTCAATTCAGTTTATCTTTTTTACCCTGTTTTAACATGGATCTCTATGGAGACTGGCCGTAGCTGTCGGGCAAGATGGCGGATAGCAGCGGAGGCACATAATATCTGCGTTCTGATTGGTCAGATCCCCTGTCAATCAAGCTCTTTGCGAACGGTCAATTTCGGTGGAAAAGCAGCTTTAGATCACCTCTCAGAAGCAGAACAACAAAAATGTGTGAACAAAAGAGCACCTGATTAAAATCATTTAAAAAAAATCAATAAAACACAGTAAGACATTTTAAAACACATGAAAAATGTTTAACATGGTTTAATGTAATAAGACAGTGTTATTAAAATATCCAATTCAAAATACACCTTATTGATGATACATCTTAAATACAGGCAAGCAGATGAGCTCAGTATATGAACAGATGTCTTAAAGGGTTAGTTCACCCAAAAATTTAAATTAGCCCATAAATTACTCACCCTGAAGTCATCCTAGGTGTATATGACTTTCTTCTTTCAGACGAATCCAGTCGGAGTTATATTAAAAATTGTCTTTGATCTTTCAAGCTCTATCATTGTACTCAGCGGGTGTTGCAGTGCTTCGGTTCAAATGACGTGAAATAAAAAGCACCCTTCCACAAAAAAAAGTGTCTCACACGGCTCCGGGGGGTGAACAAAGGCCTCCTGTAGCGAATCGATGCATTTTTGTAAGAAAAATATCCATACTCAAAACATAATAATAACTTGAATCTAGCTTGCGCCAACAGTTGTACACAGAAGCAGTTCCGGGGGAATGACGTATGAGGTCAGCGTTGCGCATGCGCCGGTGCGTCTCGTGAAAACCAACGTTTGTTTACAGGAAACTCCGACTGGATTCGTCTGAAAGAAGAAAGTCATATACACCTAGGATGACTTCAGGGTGAGTAATTTATGGGCTAATTTAAATGTTTGGGTGAACTAACACTTTAATGCATTAGGCCATATTAGGCATTTTCTTTGTAATGGTTTTCTGTTGAAAAATGCTTAATGCACAATTTAGTGCATTGTGTTCATATTCTGGGTGAATCTGTTCACCTGCATATAGTTCGCATGATCAATGAGGTATATATTGAATTTTGTCTTTTAATATTACTGTCTAACTACATTAGTACTTAGTGCAAACTTGGTAAAAATGAATGGCATTCAGTGGAGGACAGCTTTGTTTTGCCCTCCTGTAACTATGAATAAAAGAGTACTCTATTTACAGTTTTGAGGAGGCTCCGAGAACACTTTGAAAATTGCTGATCTAGGCAGTTCTAGAGAAAAGCAATGGCAGCCAACTTTCATTTGTGCGCAGGACTCGAGGAAATATATACCGATATATCGGTATCGGCGAATATGCCGCCGATATGAACATTTTTTTTACAGAACATATAATGCAGATAAAATGCTTGAAATGGTGTAATTACTTAGTTTGTCCAGCAGAGCGCGCTCCATTGTTTGCTACTGGCGACCTGGATGAAACGCTTTAACTATCGGCCTTTTTTTTACTCCCTAATATCGGTATCGGTATTGCCCCCAAAAAACCCATATCGGTCGGGCTCTAGATGTAAATATTCTCTAAATTATGAACGTGTTTTAAATGCGTTTTTTTTTTTTCATCAGGCATACAGACACTTGTGTGTGTTCGCCTGTTCAGGAAGTTGCAGTGACAGAAACAGTGACATTCCAGATAAAGTTTGAAGGGAGTAAAGCCTGTGTTTATGCTATTAAGAAAGTGTAGGCTATAATCTGGCCAAAGAAGAGCTTTTGTTTTATAATTAAATGGATTTATAATTCAACCGGATTTGCGAGACCACAAGATTTTGGGATGCTTCAAAAAAGTGCAGCAGCGCGGCTGGTATAAACGCAAGCACTGACTAGAGCGGCCGGGTTCAGCTCCGCGCCACAGACGTGTGCAGCGATGCACAGTTCAGCTCTCACTCACGTCACTGAATCTGCTGTTACAAATGAACTATCCATTCATCATATCATCATGCAAAACTAAGAATTAGTCTAATTAGAATCATTGTAATGTGACGATCGGGTGCGGGTCGGGTCGGTTATCTAAATCAGAGAAAAATATAGGTGCAGGTGGGTGGCAGGTAGATCATTTATTTGAAGCAGTGGATTCGGGTGACATTTTAGCTCATCCCATGCATCTCTAGTACATGCACATGAAGCATAGACTTTATGAGCAATAACTGATAGTATGTAAGATGCAACAGTAAAGACTTTAGAATCTAGTCATCCACCTCTTCATTAAAACTACAATCATAAAACGGTGCACAATATTCATGAACTGTCAATTTTTCAATAGAAACAAATATTCTTGAAACTATAATTTCGCAAGAAAGTGATGCTTGTCCATGGTTGCTATGTGATTGCAATGGTGCTCTATGTGGTTGCTAGCATGCTGCTGAGTGGTCCCAAGTGGCCCCAAAATATGATATGGGTCCCGACTTCAGTGAAACTACTTGAGTAGTTTGTTTTTTTTTGTCCGCCAGATAAAAAAGTGTTGAGTTACACACCAAAGCTAAATATTAGGGTAAGCATGAACAACAGTAATAGCAGTAATAGCAGTAATAGTAATTTTCACCTTAACAAACCTATTATTATAAGTGTTCAGAATAAACATTTCCTAATAGACATGTAAAAGGATTTATTAAGATCTGAAAATACTCTATAGCTAACCTTGTCTTCACAGGTGCAGCCCAAGTCATCATTAAGAGCTGTGACTGGTCCTACAGGGTTTGGCTTGCACACTTCTTCATGCATGCTGGGTATGTATACAGGGGCCCTCAAAAGCTGGTTAAGGCTACCATGGGTACCATTATTGGGGGCAGGCTTCAAACCAAGGAGATCTGGGGAACACAGAGGTAAAGCATTAAACAATCAAGAGTTATTAGAGTTGCCAAGTATGCATTTTTATGGTATTTAACAACTTTTACATATTTGCTGTGGGTATTTTTATTTCTAAATAGAAATTAATTTATTTGAATTTTAATTACATGGTAACACTTTACTTGAAGGGGTGTGCATAAGACTGACATGACACCTTCATAATCATGACATGACACCCTTACCCCTAACCATAGCCCATAACAAAGACATCTCAAACAATGTCATCTTTGCATTAAAAATGACATAACTGAGCGAATGACACTTAATGACAGTTGTCATAAACATGCATAAAAAACCTTCATACACATGTCATGATTATGTAGGTGTCATGTCATGATTATGAAGGTGTCATGTCAGTCTTATGCACACCCCTTCAAGTAAAGTGTAACCAATTACATTTATATTACATAATCTGCTTTTAATCAATTCATATCATACATAATTGATTCCTGACGCCAGACAAAGGGGGTCACATACACACTTTACTCTCCTCTCCACTAATGCATTAATACATTGATTGATATTGAAAAATAATGTGCAAGCAGAAGATCATTACGGGTAATAAAAATGCTGCTGTATGCGTTTTTGTATTTATTATTCAACCAAATTCCTTAAAGCCTGTCCTGTCTCAGCTCTAATTTCATTCATTCACAACTATACTTTACATTTTACAAAGATGTCAATTGACTGTCAAGCTCAGGTTTTTTTTTTATTAATGGCGGTTAACTTGGGATTTGTTTTTATGCTTTGGAAGCGTTTATATTATGAGCACCATTTACCTGTCCCTGTCATGCAGACCAGGCGACCCTGAACATTATGCAAAATTATGAATAGAGATCAGTGCTTTTGTACTGAAACTCAAAATTAATGCCGTAATCAGGATTAGTGAGGATTACTACAGAATGAAAAATAGAGATTTTCTCACCACACATGACATTATAAAGCTCAATATTCTCAAAAGGTGGAATTTTTGTCTTGAATTTGAAAGATGGTCCATATCCAAGGAAAATGGTCTGAAAAGAAGATTAAAGTAAGTCACTAAAGTACCAAAAAGTTTAACACAATATTTTCAGCTATATCTATGAAAATTGCAATTCAAACACAAACCTGCATGCTGTTGATCTTATTGTCATATCCGTGATCACCAGCAAACCCACATTTCCCATGATTCCTTTTTGATTCATAGACCTTCCTGTATCAGAGAGACACAACCAAAGTAGGTAATTGAGGGTTCTTCTCCTCAAAGAAAAACATTCACGGGAGACATGGAGCAATTTTTCAACTATATAAATATAAATAATCTTTAAAACATACAAGCAAATAGTCAGTAATAAAAAAAACAAAGAAAACCATTAAATCATGCTTTTTCTCCCACTTCAAGAATGTCTCAAATATTTATCAGCCCATATATGGTATCATTTGAAATCTTAAAGTCTCATCTTTACAAAGAATAATAATAACGTTTGGTTTTATGATACATAAAGTAGTAAAATTAAGCTTAGAAATTTATTCGTCCCACACACGAATTTCCGCCTAATGATTGTGAAGAATTTTTCCTACGAATGTGTATTTTTTATATTTTTCACAAAACAGTCATCATATATCACAAGAAAGCTCATTGTGTGACAATCACAGATCGAATGATCTTCAACAGAATCGCGATGTGAAATTTGATACCTCTGAGGAAAAATTGAAATGCGTCACATTCCTACTCACACTACTGCTTCAGTCAGCCGCAAACAGCCACAGACTCTATAATATCTTTTAGATTAGGATCTCTTCTTTCAGACGAGACCATTTTCACGTCTCTGCGTGCTTCCATTGGTGAGAAATCTATTGTTATGTCGCAGAAGCGCACCAGAGAAAAAGAGACACCCTTTTGGCAAACACGCACTCTCCAAATCATAGCAGCTCCGGCCAGCGGCTCTTATCTTTTACAACTCTGGGCTGCTCAGTGGGCTGCAGTCGGTCAGATTACACGCCGATCAAGCGCTGGCCACTCAGAGACGTGCAATTTGACACCTCTGGGTCAATAGACAGGAGGGAGAGGGAGGTTCCGGGTCAGCGCTGGAGCTGTATTGAGCGTGGGTCTTGTAGTTTACGGACTGTTTGAAGGCGATAATGGCGCTGAAAGGCAATGGCACGGATAAAAGCGATCTTTGAAAGCGAAACAAAAAGCTGAAGAAATGAAGAACGGCCAGAGACCGTGGAGAGGACAGGACGTGCGGCTGATAAGCGCGTCTACAAGTATTTATAGTGCTTATATTCAGGTTTGTGATATAATTATAATTAGTTTGAAACTTGAAAACACCGCAAACAATCGGATAAACTATGTATTGACAGTAAAGTACAGTACAGGAGGTGTTTCAGTAAATATATATGGATATTATTACAGTGCTGTGTTTATAAACAGCTATTTCTTTGTTTCACATTCTGAAGATCAGACAGCAGCAGCTAGCGGCACATCTCGTGTCTCATCTCCAGGAGGCAGGCAGGTGATGCAGGGGACGGGAAAAAAATTATGCACATAAATTGAATGATATAAGGCTGGAGGATGTGGATTCTGTTTTAGATTGTAATAAACCACATGGATTTTACAATTTATAGAGTCTTGTGTCTCTTGAAAGAAAAAAAACTGATTGTATAGAACACAAAATGTGATATTTGGTCTAATTCGCTTATGCCATTTTGTATATTGCTACTTAGACAAACATAAAAATGAAACATAATTAAGTCAATAATCAAGAAAAGTGCTATGGCACATAGTAAAATAAGATAGTAAAATAGGATTCTGGGGGTAATGTGCTTCATAAAACCTGTTTTTGCAAAGGAAACTGTAGCATCTGCTTAGGATCACTGATGATCGTTTACGCTTTATGTCTTAGAGACCCTTTTAGTCTTTTTCCATTTGCATATAAATTACAGACATGGCCCCACATTCTACATTTATATGGGTGCTAAATTGCCAATGGTTCCCCCCACTATCAAGGAGATGCTAAACAGTTCACCGCTCTCATCTCCCCATCTGACTTCAAACACATTCCAATGTCCTGGGAGACAGTCATCCTCAGTACCTGGCACCAAATGTTTGATGGCCAGCGAACTACCCCCATGCTCACAAAACACATAACACACACATAAAGACGTTTTCTTTGTTTAGACTACAATTAATCAGTTATCAATGTATCTGGTATATGCATGTGTTGTTTGTATGTTTCCCTATTATATTAGCCTTAGTTACCACTCGCTATTTGTATTAGTTAAGCTCTAAATGCTTATATTCAGGTGTATGAATGTACCTCTGGTTTAATATCTTCTAGATGTTTCTTTCTTGGTATCAAAATGATCTGCTCTTTATTCCTCAAACAATGATGTGAAAGCGAAACAAAAAGCTGAAGAAATGAAGAACGGCCAGAGACCGTGGAGAGGACAGGACGTGCGGCTGATAAGCGCGTCTACAAGTATTTATAGTGCTTATATTCAGGTTTGTGATATAATTATAATTAGTTTGAAACTTGAAAACACCGCAAACAATCGGATAAACTATGTATTGACAGTAAAGTACAGTACAGGAGGTGTTTCAGTAAATATATATGGATATTATTACAGTGCTGTGTTTATAAACAGCTATTTCTTTGTTTCACATTCTGAAGATCAGACAGCAGCAGCTAGCGGCACATCTCGTGTCTCATCTCCAGGAGGCAGGCAGGTGATGCAGGGGACGGGAAAAAAATTATGCACATAAATTGAATGATATAAGGCTGGAGGATGTGGATTCTGTTTTAGATTGTAATAAACCACATGGATTTTACAATTTATAGAGTCTTGTGTCTCTTGAAAGAAAAAAAACTGATTGTATAGAACACAAAATGTGATATTTGGTCTAATTCGCTTATGCCATTTTGTATATTGCTACTTAGACAAACATAAAAATGAAACATAATTAAGTCAATAATCAAGAAAAGTGCTATGGCACATAGTAAAATAAGATAGTAAAATAGGATTCTGGGGGTAATGTGCTTCATAAAACCTGTTTTTGCAAAGGAAACTGTAGCATCTGCTTAGGATCACTGATGATCGTTTACGCTTTATGTCTTAGAGACCCTTTTAGGCTTTTTCCATTTGCATATAAATTACAGACATGGCCCCACATTCTACATTTATATGGGTGCTAAATTGCCAATGGTTCCCCCCACTATCAAGGAGATGCTAAACAGTTCACCGCTCTCATCTCCCCATCTGACTTCAAACACATTCCAATGTCCTGGGAGACAGTCATCCTCAGTACCTGGCACCAAATGTTTGATGGCCAGCGAACTACCCCCATGCTCACAAAACACATAACACACACATAAAGACGTTTTCTTTGTTTAGACTACAATTAATCAGTTATCAATGTATCTGGTATATGCATGTGTTGTTTGTATGTTTCCCTATTATATTAGCCTTAGTTACCACTCGCTATTTGTATTAGTTAAGCTCTAAATGCTTATATTCAGGTGTATGAATGTACATCTGGTTTAATATCTTCTAGATGTTTCTTTCTTGGTATCAAAATGATCTGCTCTTTATTCCTCAAACAATGATGTGCACTATGTGATCGTGAAATGCATCATACTATTTGTACTATATTTTGTGTAAAACTGCACCAGTCCTGCAGACCAGTCATAAACATGCAAATGGGCCATAAATGGAGACAAAGAAAACTTCTCCCGCTCAAAAATTCACGCCTGGTATTGGCCATTCCACCCAAAAGGTGGGCGTGACTAGGAACTAGGGTGTGACTAGGAACTATTAAAAGTCATTAACTCAGACTAATCTTTGCTCAAAACCCTTCTTCTTGAGACAGACTTTCCAAGACTCCTCAAAACTCTCCTCTTGAGTTTGATTTTCCGGGGTTTTTTATCTTCAAGTAACTTTGCCGATTACCTGTGGACTTTCCTATCTTCAGAAGAACCAGAAGAAAACCTCCAGCTCACTCCTAAAGAACTCATCAAGAACCTCCGTGCCTACCGCATCAAGACTCTTGTTCAGCAACAAAGCCAATGCAAGTAACCCTTTACAACTATTTAGATGCGTGTTTAAGTTTGAGCCCCTTTTTAAGGTGATTTTTGATTCTCTGATGATTCTCATTATTCCCTCATTATAAAAGCTTCCCACTTTTCCCTGTTGTTGTGTGTGTGTGTGTGTGTGTGTGTGGGGGGGGAGTTTGTCTCTCCCACGCACCACCTTTTTATGTTGCGTTTGGCCAGCGTTTGTGTTTAATTATTATTTCGTTTGTTAAATCAATTTTGATTCAACCCCTGCTTCCCTCTTTTTTGTCATAATCTTTGAGCCGGGTTATGCCAAATGGGGGCTCATCTGTGAATGTGATGTTTGACCGGGGTGCATGAAAATCTAGGTAAGTACTGTAAGTATTCTAAATTAAACTAATTTTTTTAATAAGGTGCTTCTCTGTTAGGTTTAGTGGCATTACTCCTTTGGGTTTCGCCTGGTTTGTTTGTGTAGTGTTGCGGTGAAAGTGCACGGAGCAGTTGTCTCGGGGGCACTTCCATGGGTTTAGGAGAGTTGCCAGTTTCTGGTTGCTTTTCCTATCCGTCGGGTTTTGTGCATAATGGAACCACCATCAGTAGCCGCATGAAGACCAGGGTTGAGTTTTATTTAGGTAGTTTTGGGGTTGAGGTAGTTAGTTAGAGAGGCACACCTTATTTTTGTGCTATAGATTGAGTGCTATTAATTGTGGTTGATATTTCTCGCACATGGTTAAAATGTCTACGGTAGAGGAATTTATAGCGTCTCCATCAGAAGCATTATTAGATCTCTGCACAAAAGAGCAGCTTCTTAAAATAGCTGAACATTATGGTATTGATGTCAGCAGTAATATGCTTAAAGAATGACAAAATTCTATTTTGAGGAGTAATTTAATTGAAAGAGCTTTTTTCAGAAAAATTGTCTGTTTCATTACCTTTGCTTTCCATGTCGACTTCAAATTTAACATTTGAACAGCAAAGAGAGTTGCTTGCGATGCAAATTGAGCACGAAAGGTTTAAATTGAAGGCCGAATTGGATAGGGATTTAGCAGTGGAGAAAATACGTCAGGAGATTATTGCAGGCTAGGCTTGATTTTGAACATAGACTTGAAACGGATAGAGAAGGTGCCGCAGCTGGAGTAGGTATGTAGGCTATTCAGTC